CTGCATAAGCATTGGTGGGTTCTTTGATCCTACTTGCTATCATTGGTTATGTTAGCAGTATTATTTTTGTCCGTTAGTATTTAGAAAACTAGCAAAATTTTTATTTTACTTGTGCCTCCTCTGAAAAACTTTTCTAACTCCACCACTGCTACAAGAAAGAGGAAAACTTAGTATATGAGCACATGAAGTTATTTGTAAATGTTGCACATGATGTGCTTTTCGTAAGTGTGATGTCATTTATTGACAAAGTCACCCAATTTCTTAATGTTACGAGTAACAATTTCAGAAGCTAAGCGTAATGCAATCACTAATATCCAATAACAAGTTGTTATCCTTCCTTACCCCAATCAGTCACCCCTTTTTACTAATTAGAAACAAAAATTGCAATGACCACTCAAGTAAAAGTTAGGCCGTATTTGATAACTCATTTTATTACTTAAATTTAATAGATTCAGATCTTAATATGTTCAGATCCGTTTGATAACAAAAAATAGAATATCTCAATTAATTAAATGGCACTGAATTTTCTAAACAAAACTTACTCCAAAAAATAAATGATAAGTTATCACTATCACTTAATGTGATATACAGTTAAATGTATCAGATTTAGCACTTTACAATTCAATAATTTAATAAATTTAGACTTTATTTTCAGATTTCAAATTTCAGTTTTATCAAATGCACCCTTAAAAATATTTCAGCCTAAAGAAGGTAGAAGTTCTAGGCTTTAATTTCGGGGAAAAGTGTTCAAAACATATTTGATAAGTATGTATTTTGTGTGATTTAAATGTGTTTTATTATTTTATTTTGGTGTGTTTTATTTATTTTTATAACTAATAAACTAGGTTTCTAGTGAAATATACATGTTGTGGTTTAAGTGTCAAAAATTGCATTTGTATGGATTAAAGTGGTGAAAATTTCTTGTTTTTATAGGTTTAATGATTCAATCATCAATTCGAGTGATTTGAGAAGATAATTAGATGATTTTTGATGATTTGAAGTGATTTAAAAAGGATATGAAGTGCAAAGATGAAACGCAATTAAGAGTAAAAGAGGAAAAGTTTGACAGCTTTAATACCTGTTGGTATTTCAACTATATCTTGAGCTACAAGTATCGGATTGAGTTGATTCTTGAATCATTTTGAAGCTAACACATAAATATACATTTCTTATGAAGACATCGAAATTCATTTTACGAGTTTTCCTAGTTAAAAGGTTGAAATACAGTCGGCCATTTCTGTTGTCGGAAGCTGAAACAGAGTTTTGACCAGTTGAGGGTATTTTGGTCATGTATTGGTCCACAAAGCTCCAAATTGAGTGATTCTAGAGGCATTGGAAAGAACTCAAAGGGCTACAACTTTCATATTTTGTACTGGAGCTATTTCAGCCTCCAGCATCGAGAAAAAATCAATAAAATTCGGTGCAAAAACAGAGTAAGGATGAAGATTGACCAAAATTAAGCAAACCTGCAAAAAAAGGCAAAACATAGGGTTAATACGCGACCTTAGATCACATTTTTGAGCCTGCATATTCTTTAATTGCAACTGCAACTTGCTTTGCAACTTGTACTTTGTTCACACAATCTTTTTAACCAATTCTTCTGCAAGAATTTCAGCTAGATATAAGCGAGCACGTAAGCATAGAATCTTATAGAAGCAACCTTTGGAGATTTCAAAAGGCAAATTTGCCAACTAGAAATAACTCATCTTGAGCTTTAATTCCTCTATAAATAGGGCCTTTGTAGAGCTTGTTTCATAACTTTGAAAAGCTAAAGAAACTCTACAAAAATGTAGTTTTCACTAGAATTTCCTTAGTTCACTAGTTAGGCTAGATTAGTGTAGTTAGTGTAGTCTATCCTTCTTGTACTTATAGCTAAACTTGGACGAAGATTAAGGAACAAGATGGAGAGTTTGATCTCATGTGATAAGGGTGATATCTCTTCTACTATTTTCTCTCTTGTATTTGATTTCATGTTTAGTTACTATACAAGTTTGGATTTGTATTTCAATATGTATTTCTAAAGTTTATGCCTTGGGTTTTGGTTGAATTTTCTATAATTGTTTTGTGTTTATTATTTGGCCATTTGATGCTATTATTTTGAACAAGTTATTTAGCACTTTTGCTCCTCTAAATCATGATTAACTTGGTACCATTAATTGTGATTATCTAAAGGTGTTGTTTCTTCAATGAAAATTGAGATTTAACACTAGTTCAAGAAGTGCTATACCAAGGGAGTACACTCACGAGAATAGAGGTTCACCTTTGTGGCATTAGTGATTTATTTCATGTAATTTCATAGAAGAAATGAACTTGTAACTAAATTTATAACCACAAAAATAGGTATGGATTAGTTATAAGTATAGTTGATTCACTACGAGAGTAGATGTCATATACATAAAGAAATTACGCCATAGCTAGCCAAGAAAGTAGTACTCAATTATCAAAAAATAACACTTATATGAATAGTTAGGGATACCATAGTCTAAGGAGCTTTCATTTGCTATTTTCTTACAAAATTTAGTTTTGTTTTGTTTCCTTTAATTTGTTGATTGTCTAAATAATAGAGGAGTTTTAGTAGTGTCGGTAATTTTCCATTTTTCCGTATGGGTTCGACCCTTAATACCCTATGCTTATTCTCGACTCGTATACTTGCGAAAAATCGTGTGTAGGGTATTTAGAATTTTATAGATGTAAAACTTGACTGTGGATGAGCTAATTGTTATATGTATACCCCGCACTCGTCAATATCTCACATTTCGCTAAATGAATATTTTCATCCCTCACTTTTAAAATGTTAATTTTACATTCCTTACACATTCAAGTTAGTAAAATTTGGTCCCAACCTAAATTTCGACTACTTTTTACATTGAATCCCTTATGTGTGGTCAATTTTTAAAAGCAAAAATATTAGATACCATATGTAGTTAAACAAATGACCTGATTTATATTCATTCTTGTCTCTAAAAAAGTGTTATTTGAGTCAAACTATATTTGTATTTATCCTAGAAAAGTAAGATCTAAATCAATGCATATATATTTTTACCCTTAAATAAGTAGGATCTGATTTTTTTGTATCTAAAAAATGATTACATGTAAGTCATATGGTAATTTCAGAGTAAAAAAAGGTTGAAAATCTAGATTAATATTAAATTTTGCTGATTTGAATTTTTAAGGGATGCAAAATTAATATTTAAAAGTGAATGACTAAAAAATTTATTTGATGAAATATGAGAAACATTTTAAACAATTTTCCCTTACTTTGGCACAAAAGGCCAGACTGATGACGATGTTCTATCTTTACCGAGGCATTCAAATGTGATGGGCTGTGTCCATTTTTGACCATCTTATTTTGCGGCTTTATAACTTCTCATTTCTGTTGGAAATCCAAGATAAGAAATTAGTAGTTTAGTATACTATCACATTATTGCTAACAGGTAAGACCAACGTGTAAAGTATAAAACTGTGACAACCAATAGCATATTCAAACAACATGACAATGATAATTTGCACTAACTGCAAAGTCAGGAAACTTGACGAATAGAAGTAACAAACATATTTAAATGTGTATAACAGAGCCAACAAAGTCTGAGCGAAGGAATCCAATTCACCTCGAGTTCTAAAAAATATTTTGACGGTCAATGCCTGGCCAAGGAAGCTGGCTAATTAGAAAGTAGAAGCAAATTGAATGGGATTGGGGTGGACAGACAGACAATGAGACAGACATATAAACAAAGATTAGGTCAAAGGGCTGTCTCAACTTTATCTAACATAACTTTGGATCTACTGCTATGAAGTATATTAAACGCGGAGCTTTACTGAGATCACCTGCATTTGCTGCTGGTCTTATGCCGGAAAAAGCAAACAAGCATATTAAACTTTGAACTTACCTACTTTTTTTTCTCAAGAAAAGGCAACTTTTGGAACTATTATGGCCCTATCCAACAGCTCTTGTACTATATTCATAGATGTTAAGTGCTAACGACTGGGCTCTGCTATATAAGTGATATATATTTTACGGAAGCCCTCATTCCCACTCCATCTATTCTTGAAATGATAATAAAAACAAACGTGAATAGATAGCTCATTGACGTGTATTTATTTCAAGATTCTTGCAGTTTTTCTCTGGCTCAGGATTGCAGCACGCTTCATGCTAATTGTATTTTAGTGTCCACAATATCCATCCGTATGTTTGATGCTTATTGAGTTGATACTTCTTTGATTGAATCATGATGCTTCCTTTTGTGCAAAAGTATATATTGCATCACTTACACAAGGCAGAACTTTTTCTAGTTTCTATGAATTTAGAATCTTGCTCAGTAATGGATTTTATCCTCTTCCACTTTGGCATTCAATTAAACCACGGTTTAAGAAGAATGGCTGCACTGTGATAATCATATATTACTTCATAAAAATGTTTTTTATGTGTGCGGTTGAGCCTGTGCCCGTGTGTTTGTCTCTTTCTTCACCCAAAAGGTCAAATTTTACCAGCAGATAGATACTAAAGATCGATCAGTTAATATAATATAATTTGGAATGATTGGATTTCAATAGAATAAAGAAAAGAAATCTCATGTAAAAGAGAGTAATTAGAAAGATGGATACATCTGAACAAGAAAACAATGTCTCATGAAAATTTATCGGAAAGAGGGATTTCACAACTACTAACAGCAGGATAATTTAACGGCCCATCACTTCTATTTTTATATTCCCAGCAACAACTTGATGGACTGATCATAATAAGCTTAATCATGTACTTGTCTTCCTTGTGAACAATAATGTAGACCCAAGTTGCACCTGTTACATACATACATTATAAGTATTTTCCATACTAGACGTGGTGTGGTGGCCCTAAATAAGTCTTAACATAACAGATCTCTGGAATTTAAGTCAACAAAGCTTATTGGCTCAAATTCAGTCGGACAACATGTTCTCTAAAAGTATTTTCTTTTTCTAGTTTAGAGTTGAGCTTTACATATCATCAAATTCATTGAAGAACTGCCTTTGAATTTATCCAATGATCCTTGCAGGAAGTATTTGCTTCTATTGTAACTTCTCTCTCTGCCAATACACAATAGCCCATAGGAGATGAAAATTGGAGCTTTTGATCACCATGTATGGCCAATTATTTGCAGCACCTTGTTGCTCATGGTTTTTCTAGCAAAGTTCCTGCGGAAAAAAGTTAAGAAGAATGTGAAGAATAGGAAGTTTCAGTTACCTCCAGGAAGAAGAGGCTGGCCAATAATTGGTGATAGCATCAAATGGTACAATGCAGTTGCAAGTTCTCATCCCCCTCAGTTTGTTGAAGAGCAGGTTCAAAGGTACATAGGCCCACTCCATGCTACTGCTACAATTTTTAGTTTATGTGCATTATGTTGTTACCTCTAATAGTGTATAATTTTGAGTTGCAATACCTTGTAAATTGATTTGTCCATGCTCTCAGTTTCTTCATACACATGGTTGAACTTCTGCCAATGAGTCAAGTTCTCTTGCTACAAAAGAATTGCTCCACCTGATGAGTCCAAATATGTGATCACGATCTGGCTAAATTAGTTATTGTACCCTGTAATATTTCTACCATCTCTAGATTTTAATCCAGAGTCCTAAATACTGAACAGGTATGGAAAAATATTCTCATGTTATCTATTTGGAAAAAGGGCAGTGGTATCAGCAGATCCGAAATTTAACCGGTTTGTGATGCAAAATGAAGGCAAACTATTCCAGTCAAGTTATCCAAAATCTTTCCGAGATTTGGTAGGGAAGAATGGGGTAATCACTGCACAAGGAGAGCAACAGAAGAAGCTGCACTCAATAGCATCTAACATGATGCGCTTGGAGAAACTCAAGTTCCATTTCTTGCAGGACATACAGAGAGTCATAAATCAAACCTTCAACAACTTGCATGATAATCAAGTCATTTGTCTCCAGGATATTTGCAGGAAGGTAATTACTTCACTTCCACACTCAGGCTTCTGGAGATTGCATTCTTCCTAACTAAAACAAGCTTCACAAAACTAGTTGGACTGCTTGCTTATCTTAGATATGGTTCATGTCCTGGTCAACTCTGTTGAGCTCTCATGTTTAATAAGCCATATATGCATGGATCAGGTAGCCATTAATTTGATGGTCAATCAACTTCTTGGAGTATCCAATGATTCAGAAGTCAATGAGATGGCTCAGTTGTTCTCTGATTTTGTGGATGGCTGTCTTTCAATTCCAATCAATCTTCCAGGCTTTGCTTACCATATTGCTATGAAGGTGACTCTTCCAATAGACAGATAAAACCATTGCCTTAAAATTACAGCTCTTCATATTAACATTCTGAAATCCTTTATTCTTCAAAGAACACTATTTCACTATCTGAATATTTTCTGGCCATAAAACATTTCATCATGCTAGTAACCAGCTTACTCATGAACACACTTCGTCAACCACCACAAGGTGCAGTTCAAGTCATGCTTGCCACTCGAAGTGTCAAAAACTTACAACCCTAAAGGCACTACTGCTTTTTCCTCAAATTTTCATCTTAGTTCAAATGTTATTGTTTGCTATACCAAAAGATTTCACATGTAATATGAATTTGAAAGTGCAATCAGCATCATCATATCAAATGCCACCCAGCTAAATAGACGGATATTAACAAAGATGTAATTTTCGAATGTCAGTGTTCTGTTTTGAGAAAGATAGCTCAAAAGCTCTTGTATTTGATGCCTCTTTTAATCTCAAACAGGCAAGGGAAAGTATAATAAGCAAAATTAACAAGACAATAGAGACTCATAGGCAGCAACCTTCTTCAGGAGTTGGTAATGGTGTGCTCCAGAGAATACTAGAGGAAGAAAGCTTACCTGATGATGCAGTTGCTGACTTCATAATCAATCTTTTATTTGCGGGAAATGAGACAACAGCCAAAACCATGCTATTTGCTGTTTATTTTCTTAGTCAATGTCCCATGGCCATGAGACAACTCCTGGTAATTTACATAAGACATTCTTAAAGTTGCTAAATTATTTGCTATATCATTTATTTAGCATGGTCACCACTTGATCAACTTCAATAAATGTTCCTCTTAAGAATAGGTTGAACAAGAACGGCTGAAGACTGCAAGAAACAACTTTGGTGGAGAAATGATGCTTACATGGCAAGATTATAAAGCAATGCCCTTTACTCAATGTGTAGGTCTTCTGCAATCTTTCCCCAGTTCCGCTCAATTTCTTATACAGTGAAGTTTCATATTCTCATTTCCAAGGCAGTGTAACATCCAAGTTTGTCTAATCAGTGCCAACAAGTCATTAACTCTAGTTTCTAAAACCCCTCTAGGACTCCAAACTTGAGTTGAAGTAGATTTTGACTAAGTTACATACATTCAAAGGACTAGTTTTTGTGATGTTAAGATTACCAACTACCTGAATATTTGCAATTATGATGCTCCAGCACAAAGATGTTACTAAGCCAGAAACCTTTTTCATTAGAATGCATCAAGTGAAACAAATTCTCATTCTTAGTTTTGTTGTGTTTTGATTTATGTGAAATGGTCCTGTCCAATCATGCTACTTTTACTAGTCCCCCAGCCGTTGGGTGGGTCAAAACTTGAACTAAAATGCAATGGGATTACAAAAATATAGAAAGAATTTGAACTCGAAACATCCCATAATTCCAACATCAACTTCCATCATGAGGAAGACAAATATTTAATCTACTTGGAACCTAATACATCCCAAGGTTGTTTGGATTTTCTTTTCTTATACTATTCCTTGCTTAAGTTTATTGCTACCAAAAAGCTAGTGGTTCTTGGATTTTTTTTTTTTTGCTCACTTTAATTGATCAGGAAATAGTCTAATATAATAACATGAGTTAAAATTCAGATCCAGAAGTTCACTAAAAAATTGGAATAAACCATTCTCTGCTACAGGTAATAGACGAAACTCTTCGGTTGGGAGGAATTGCAATTTGGTTGATGAGAGAAGCCAAAGAAGATATTCGTTACCAAGGTATGTCAACATTTCCACGTACTAGGTGGTGAAAATATACATATCTTCATGAGGAATCAAAGTTAACCAAAGTCATTCATATAACAGAAAACTTCCAACAAAGAATAATATATAGATTAGCAAAAGGAAACTACTGTTTCTGTTTTCCACCTATTACTTTGTGTAGTGATTTTATTAGATGTTGATTTCCCATCAGAATGTTGTCATTGTTTTTCTCTGTTACAAGAGTCTTGTTTCTTTTCTCTAGCGACAGAATCATTACATTTTGAAGTGCCATAAATGATATGGGGCCCTATTTAATCACTCTGTTCTAGCCTTGCAAGACAAAATCATACATCAGAGAAAACTAGTGACAGTTAAATTTCAATTCTGAAGTAAATAAAGCTAAAATTATATTCTTACATTACTTTTGCAGATTATGATATTCCCAAAAGATGCTTTGTCGTTCCATTTCTCTCTGCAGTCCATTTAAATGAAACAGTTTATGAAGAAGCTCTTAATTTCAAACCTTGGAGATGGATGATTCCAGAAAATCAGGCAAGTCTAAAATGAACTTCTTACTAAAATGTATTTCCATGGGAGAACACATTATTCAGTCTTTTCCTTTCTGTCTGTAATTCCAATCTAAAGACTATTATTTGAATTCTAAAGTGCAACAATCTTTCTCTGATAAAGGAAAAGAGGAATTGGAGAAACAGTGCACTTTTTGCTCCCTTCGGTGGAGGCGCTCGCTTTTGTCCTGGCGCTGAATTGGCTCGCCTTCAAATAGCACTCTTTCTTCATTACTTCATCACTACATTTAGGTTGTTTCCCTTCCTTACTTATAGTTTCTATGCATTCATAGCTTCAAGAGAACCATCAAAACTTCAACATATCCAAAGAAGTCATTTTTCATTCTTTACTAATTAAGACCAGCAATGAGAGAGCAACTTTAGCAATTCATTCTCCTAAAAGCTAGTCTATTGCTTGTAGGTGGAATCAACTCAAGGAGGATAGAATGTCTTTCTTCCCATCAGCTCGGTTGGTAAATGGATTTCAAATTCAGTTGAGGAGAATACCGGATGATGACAGAAAATGAATAAAAGGCCTTTTTTAAGCCTTTTTTAAGCAACAATTTACGTTTCTACATGTTTTATATTGCTTTGTTGTTTATATTGTCTGTAAATGGTCTTGTATCCTGACTTCTCTGCACCATGATGAAGTGTGGACCATGGAGGGAATTCCAATTCAAAGAGTAATAATAATATTGTGAGTACAAAAAGGACATCAAATTGGCCTACTGTGCTATCATAAATCTTATGCAATAAGATTAAGCACATTCCATAACTATCAGTAGTCTGGGTTCCTCCTAGGGAGAGCAGAAATGATAAACCACTAAAAGAAAACAAGAAGAGCTTGATAAAATAAGATGGAGAGTCAAAAAATCATTAAAGTAAACAAAAAGTAAATAGAGAAACAAGGACACATATCAAGGCATATAAACAAGCACACGGCAGAAGGAAGTAATCTGCACATAAAAGAGGAAGTTGATAGAACTGCCCTGATATGCAAACACTGGACTGTCTGTTTTTAAGATTCTGGAAACAAACTAAGCAGTGGAAATATCATCCCATTGGTGTCTTCTGGTGACAATGTAAAAGATCAGAACTGTTTCCCAACTTCTTCTAAAATCAAAATATTTGGAAGGATGACAAGGTCATTAATTTACTGGGAAGTATTTGGTGCAACGACAAATTCATATGAACTGAAATGAAAAATAAAGAAGTTATAAAGGGAAGCATTGTTTGGTTTTAGGAACTACTGAGAAAATGCAAGTTGCCTGAAAAAAAAAGTTTTCTGGTTCACCTTAATGGTAGTTTTATTGCATTGGTTGGCAGTAGAAAGAAACACACAGAATTAATCTGTAATTTGGATGAAGCACGAGAATGATTGTTGAAACGCTTGGTTGACCATGCCACACGTCCAGATCCAGAAAATATGTTGACAAAATCAGGACCAATGCTGACTTTTTTCAGGGCCCAACAATCTCAGACAAAATTAGTTTTATTTTTAACTTAATTTTAATGCTTTGCATCCGCGGAAAGATCATTTCTTATTCTTAGATTTCTACATCGAAGATTCAGCTTTCGTTTGTGCGACCAATAGAACCTGAACCATCATGACAATGAAAGGCTTACCAAATAAGGCACTTTCTAAGCGAGCAAATACAGCAAACAACTTATGCAATTCATCAAATTATAATTTGGCTTTGAACTTCAACTACATCTTCCTGAAAATTATCATGAAATCTGAAATTATTGAAATCAATCTTATACAAGAGCCATTACCATTTTCGATACATAAAACTCTGAATCATACACACACAGTAACCTACCTTCTGCATTGCTAGAAAGCAATAAAACTTCCTGCTATAGCTCAATTTCCCTATCACAAATCTCCATAATGCACAAATTCACAGCGATAAGGTCAAATAAAATTCCTAAATAAAATAACAAGACAATAATATCCATTCTTTGTTACTAAGAAGAATTTCATTGCAAGAGAGAATCTGACCTGGGATTGACCCAAAACAAGCATTAGAGAAGTCTTTATTCAATATCTTTCCCAAATGGATGATCAATTTCGCTGCTGAAGAAGACTTATGAGTTATGACCCTGTTAGCTAGGAGTTCCATGCATGAAGAAACCCTCCGTGGACCAAATTTGGGTTCATGGTTAATAACTCCAGCACAGGCCTCACCACCTATGTCGATAGAAATTCCCTTGGTGGCCGGATTTCACAGGTTTCAGATGGGGCTGCGGTTTCCTATGCTAGCTTGGGGTCGTAAAGGTTGGCGGGAAGCCGTTGGCCATGGCTGTTGCAATTTGAGATGAACAGCTGGAATAATGCAGAAGAGGTGAAAAAAGGGAGTAAAAAGGAATTTTTTTTAAAAAAAAAAGGTGAGTGAAGCCAAATTTGAAATTGAGTTCCTTAAGTTTCTTTTTTGGTTTAAAACATACTCTATTTTGGCTTGTCCATTAGCGCAGAATACTTATCATTTGAATAATTATGAACTTATGATTACATGAGTGGTAAAGGAACCGAGCTGCTTTTGAGGAACTTGGTCAAAATTTAAGATTGATTTTGAGCATTTATCTATTTATTTATTCTACTTGAAAAAGTTGATCGAGTTTTTCGAGCTTGATATGTATATATTAGCCCAAACGAGCTACTCAAACCATAGTGGATGGGCATATACTTTTTATAATTATTAAATTATATATATAGTTTTTATAATTATTAAAGAGTTTATTTTATATATACTAACAGTGTATGTACTGGTACGATTAGATGCAAAATTTGAATTTCAAATTTAGATTTAGATTATGTACCATGCATCTAATGGTAAAATATATACATTATCAGTGTGTAGAAGATTAATTCATTATTAAATTATCTAAAAACTTATATTTTTAGAATGAATTACATATCATACCACTTGACCTCGAGCACTTTGAGTTTGAACTCAATTCCGATCTCAATTTGTTTCTTGAGCATCCTATTTTTTACACAAGTCGAGCTCAAACTTCAAAATTGAAAGTTTGTCAAACCCGAGCTTAGATGTTAGATAATACACTTCAAGCTTGAGCTCAAATACCCTAGTATTCAAGTTCAATTTGTCTCGCTAACACTCCTACTTTTGAAAAGCACGAATAATTTAAGGGAAAAAACAATAATATTCTAACTAAATTATTTATAAAATTTTTCTTGTGACACTTAAATTGTGAGGACCCGAATTCTTATTTTACTTACTTTTATTTTATTTTACTCACTTATTTAATTATTTATTTATTCGTTTACTCCAATTAATTTATTTCATTTGCATGGATCAATATCTCATTTTATATTTTAAAACATTTCGCTAGTAAAATTAATTTTTCTGCGACTCGTTTAGTAAGAAATAGCGATTACACGTTTTTTGAGGTAAAATTCGGTCCGAGAGTGCAATAATCTTGGAGAATTAAGGATGATCAATAGTAGACTAAGAAAATTTAATTGAGAGATTAGAGGTGAGTGAGTTAATTAAGCTCAATTAGGAGCACTAATGGTCTCCTATTCATTTATTGACTTTTGGATACCAAAGCACCTTTATGTCATTCATTTCCTTTCATTCCATCACATCACACAAAAGCCTCCAAACCCCTTTCTTCCTCTCCTTCTTGGGCGACTCTTCCTCCACCATTTCTCATCAAAATTCCAGCTAGCTTTCTTCCATTTTTGCTCCAAGAAGACATTCCAAACTTGCTTCTTTTCTTGGTTCATCACACAAGCTTGAAGGATGACTTGAAGGAGGAAGAAACTTTGGTGGTTTAAGAGCTTATACACTAGTGGTTAGTCTTCATTCTTGGAAGCAAGGTAATCCTCCAAAGCTCTTATCTTTTCCTCTCAACTTATAGTAGTTAGATAGTTATATCTAGTTAATCTTTGGGTTGTTGATGGGTTCACAAGAATCTTGACACTAGGTAGAGGACTTGAGGTGGCTTCATAGGTAGAGGCCTTGAGGATTATTGTGTGTTTGGTGCTTGTTTTGATGAATTATGGCTTAGTTTTGATTGGGAAGTTGAAATGAAAACTAGAGAAAAGAAAGAGGCTTGCTGTCCGAATTTTGGCTGGTTGAATTCCTTATGTTAATTTTGAATTTTGCTGTTATTTTGGTGCTATAATATTTGTTATATGTTGGTGTTTATGTGTGTTAAATATCTCCCAAAAAACTTTACAATTGGTTGAGTTAAAGTAGGGGAAAGTGAGGTTGCAAATCTGAAAAATTTTCTGATCAGGAGACCAAACCAGTGTTCACGTTTTGACCCATAACTTTTCATTTGGGAGTTGAAATCAAGTGCCTTTTGTGGCATTTGAAATTACACTCCGATCGCTTTCCAACGGTATAAAGTACACTCCCTAATTCATTTTCTATGAGCCGTAGTGAACCGGCAAAGATGACTGATTTTCCTCACTGCTTTCATCCGGGAAACAAGCATAGCTACAGTTTGTAGCTCATTTTCACCTATCTTGCAAAACGAATTTTAAGACAGTTCCTTCTAGTGATTTTTAGAATTTTAAATCTAGTTTTCAACGCCATAAACCACACTAAATTTTGAGTTGTGTAGCTTTAGTTTTGACCAGATTTTGAAACTCGGTCAAGTACGTCAGAACTGGAAATTCCGTGAAACAGGTTCCAAAAATCAGTTTTCTTAAAACTGTTGTATCTTGGTGTAGAAAGGTCCGGATTGAGTTCTGTTTGTTGAATTTGAAACTAGATTTGGATTTCTATTGGTGGTATAAATTTCAAGGGATGATTCTATTTCTATGAATTTTGCCAAATTTCCAAATTTACTGAAATTTCAAGCCTGTTTTGCTCTGTCTTGTCTGGAACAGTGACTTTGAGCTAAGATTTGAATGATTTTGGATTGGATTCTGGGAAAAGTATCTTCCAGAGAGTTTTAGTGCATTGAGTCTAGTTTCCAACGGTATAAAGTTTCCAATTTTTGGACTTACGAAACTCGAGATATGATTTTTCCAAGTAGTGTCGCACCAAGCTGGAAATTTTCTGGTTTCAAACAAAGTACTCTTTTAAGAACTTTCCACCTTCCTTTGCGATTGTGGGTCCGTTTTAAGTTTAATTTAATGGTTGGATACGAGGTCTCTTTGAACTTTAAACCTTCATCTTGAATCTCAGTTTCCAAAGGAATTAATCCTCTTTTGATGATTCTTCTTGGTTGCCTAACTTTCTTGGTTAATGGCACCTCTTTTCATACTTGAGAAATGGACTTCAACCCCTAGTCTTATGCCCTCGATTTCCATGAGTTTGAACTTTAAAAAGGGAGCATTTTGACTAGAGTAATTCTTGAAGAATTTCACTAGTTTTATACTCGACACTTGGAACCTTTAGCTTTGACATTTACTATGAAAATGAGTGGAGTTTTGGATGATTTTTGACTCCATTAGTTTGGAAAATGTGAACGTTCATTATATTCTAAAGTTTGGACATGAGATTAGAAGTTTTGAAAGATGAAAACCATCTATCTTTTTCTCGATTTTTGTGCCGAAAGTAAATATGGTACTTTCTTTTGGAATTGAAATTTACTTACCATGACTTGAGTCAAAAACGATCTTTGAGTTCTCTTTGAGCATTATTTCAATGATTTAGCTAGAAAAACTCCTTTAACTTGGCCCGAACTTGTGACCTTGAGAGTGGGTAGCGAGAAAATATTTTTCTTATTAACCTTGGTCGAGTACCTAGATAATCGATGTTGTGCATGTCTCAGGTGGTCACAAGGACGCCGAAGAGCTCGTCTGACTTTTCACTTTGCTCTTGTTTTGCCCTTGACTTTTGGTGAGTGTCAAGTGCATGTTCAATGCTAATGATACGTGAACTTGCCAAGACGAGGGTGTACTTTATCGCCCTCGTGCTCTCTCTCTTGTGATCGAATGATACTTGTTAAATGAATGTATATGACTTGCACTTATACTTGAAATGTTTTAACTCGTGAGTACTGAGCGGCAAAATGTATCACACCCTATTCGGGTGGGAGGTACCGCTCATCCCGACTCAGTGCTATGAACGATTTTAAGTCGATTGGAGTGTTGTTTCATCGACCAATCATATTTGTGGGGATGCCCCAACCCATTGGCTAACCTTGTAACTCGAGCAGGCAAAGGCTTGGTCGAGAAGCTTGGTGAACCTTGGGAAATGATATAGCTTGATCTTTTGAGATCTCGCTAGACATACTCGAATAGTATCGCCACTACATGAATGTTTGGTTACAGATTCGAGTGGGTGTTATTGGATGGAGGTAGTAAGTGGAGAGCTACGGTCCTATTACTACTTAAGTTGACGGAGAGTCAACCCCAAATGGCTGAAATTGGTCGAGATGTGGATATAGCTCCTGAGAGCTCCTGTATCCTTCCATGTGTGTTATTTCCTACTTGTGCACATAAATGAAACTTCATGTTTAAAGTTGTTTTCAAGTATGTTATTTGATTGATTGGTAC